ATACTTTTTGACAATCATAAACCCCTAATTTAATTTTTAGCCATGTTTAATATATATAAGACATGTTTTTACTATATATATATATATATATATATATATATATATATATATATATATATATATATATATATAAACAAATTTAAACCAGCACTAATATATATATATATATATATATATATAAACAAATTTAAACCAGCACTAATATATATATATATATATATATATATATATATATAAACAAATTTATATATGAACCAGCACTAAACCTAAACAGATGATAATTCCACACACAGATGCACATTGCATTCACACATGATGGCCAAATGTGCTGGTCGAACTACATACACACACACACACACACAAACACACAGAGACACACACACACATGCAAGTACCGATGAAAACGTATATATACACTAATACTGAAAAAAAGAGTACCCACAAGCACACACGAACACTACACAACATACCATGTGTGAGTATATATATATATATATATATATATATATATATATATATATATATTTCTTAAAACAGTATATGTGTATGGAGAAGGCATATACATACACATACTAGGAAAAACACACAAGCACACACAATAAACAAAAATGAAGATAAGTCTAAGAAGATACTGGGGAATAAAAAGATAAGAAAGAAGACCTCCAAATTGGATTACTACGACACACAAAAGACAATGATTAAACATCGGAAAACATGGAAAATTAATTCCTTTTAATAATATGTGAAAATAACCACTCTTTGCCTTATGAAAGATGCAAGACCGGAAACCCGTGTAGAAAAAATATAGAAAATAAAGTATAATATATATTTTTTAAAAAAATCCGCTTCATAACTGAAACCTATAGCGGCTCCCCTCTTCTCTTTAATATATATATATATATATATATAAGTAAAATGGAATAAATACAATCTGAAATGTTTAACAGTTTAGCATGTTTTGCTTTTATTAAAGCTTCATCAGAGAATGAGATACGGAGAAAAATAAGAAAGAAATTCTGGTAGTTTTATTTTCGTATTGATTAATTTTCTTTGGTTAAATATGTTTCACGTGAATTTGACTCGTTAAACAAACGTCATTATCATTCGTGGCGTTCCGATTTCAAGAAGTTTTTCTTCTCCATATCTCACTTTCTGATATGGCTGTATCAGAAGTGAAGCGTCTTCGATTGATAAACGTTTCCTATTTGTTTTTTATCTTATTCGGTGGGTTTCCGTCGGAAATTATTCAGGATATGCAATTGGGGGACCTTTATATAGTAAATGTACAAAAAATATTTTGCATTTTATGCATAAAAATCAGAGAAATCTTCATAATTTTGTTGGATTAGGTTCGTGTTGTGCCTCAGAATGAAATTTAGCTGTTAATCTATTTTATTCAGGATAATCACTACCCTGAATAAAACAGATTAGAAGCTACATTTCCTCATATATATATATATATATATATATATAATTATTTTTTAAAAATATGATTCCTTCGCTACATAAGAATTCTCATGTTTCAAAAACGAGAGCCGAAACCATCAATATAATTATTAAAATTAAATTGAATTAAAGTAACAAGCCCTGTTTCATTCTCAAGCGAAAATTTAGGAATAACCAATTTTGAAATATACGTATCGTTATAAGCATGTTCATTCGTTACTATGTGTCCATGGGGTCAGGTTATAATGCATAGCCTGGACCTTCAAATGGCAATCTCTTCAAGTAACATTTATTATTATTTAAGGTCCACGAAATAAATTATAACCTGGCCGAATGGATTTTTAAGGATTCTGTATTCATTATCATAGTACCTTTTGTTCTTACATTTAGCTCACTTTGGATTTATATCTTCCTTGGAATTACCCATACTAATCATCTATATATATATATATATATATATATATATATATATATATGGACAGCTATCCCTCTTTTATACAAGCTTTTATTTAAATTTTTCTTGTTTTCTTAGAAGTTTCTGATTTTTGAACATAGAATGAAATCAAAGACTCAGAAAGGAAAAAAAATTAAAAACTCAAGAAAAATTAACTATTAAACTGAACCGCAGTAACTTTTCAGTTGTTTTTAATGAAACACACTCACATATATGAAGACATTTTATGTTTACACATTGTTTTTATAGATACAAATATTTAAGTAAATGCTCTGTTTATAATAAACAGCATTAACGACATTTATCGGCCTGAATGTCAGAGAAATTTTCATAGAAAATATTCGTCCTCCGACAGGAATCGGACCTGTATCCTATACGGAACCGTCATGTGGCCTGAAGTGCTTTACCGATTGAGCCACAGAGGAGCGTTTCAATTTGCATGGTCGATTTTACCGTTTTTATAAAAATTTCTCAGAAATTAGTAACTGTCGTTAATACTGTTTATTATAAACAGAGCATTTACTTAAATATTTGTATCTATAAAAAAGAACGTATAAACATAAAAATGCCTTTAAAATCATTGTCCATTTCATGTATATATATATATATATATATATATATATATATATATATATATATATATATATATATAAAGAAATGGACAAGGTCCAATAATTTATTTATTAAAGACATTTTTTATGTTTAACGTTGTTATTTATAGATACAAGTATTTAAGCAAATGCTCTGTTTATGATAAACAGTATTAAATAACATTTACCATGTTTGACCTGAATGTCCGAGAAATTTTCATAGAAAATATTCGTTCTTTGACAGGATTCGAACCTGCATCCTATATGTCTACCGAAAGGTTCTTTGTAGAGGTAAGGCATGTCAGTAAATGACGGTTCCGTATAGGCACGTCAATCGTAAAAGAACGGTTCCGTATAGGATGCAGGTTCGAATTTAATACTGTTTGTCAAAAACAGAGCATTTGCTTAAATACTTGTATCTATAAATAACGTTAAAATAAAAAATGACTTTATTTAATATATATATATATATATATATATATATATATATATCATTAACGCAGACAGACAAGGTACTGCGATTAAGATTCTTATTTAATATTTCTTGTGTTTGAAAAAATGTAATTTAAAGCAGCTAACCTTATCCTCAAAAATAACAACACACCAGCAAAATCAAAATTACAACGAACTAACATTATCTGAGGTGAAATGCCCTTTCAGGATCAGTGTTCTTGATTAAACTGAATAATAATTACATCGGTCACACTACTACATGCCTATCTAGACTCCTTACGTTACACCTATCCGACTACTGCTCTATTAGAATCCATTTAAATGCACATACAAACTTACCAGATTCCATCCGAAACATACTAGTAGAAAATACAGACATAACCTCATCCACATGTAAAAAAAAGATTAAAAATAATGGATGATTTAATAATAAAAAAAGCCAACATTTAATATATATATATATATATATATATATATATATATATATATATATATAGCCTTAATAATAAAAAAAATAAAGAAAAACAACACTCAATAATATTAACTACGAACACGGTCAAAATGTGCTAACCGTATTCGGAAAATACATCATCTCTGTAAATATAGAAACATATACACAACCCATACACCTAATTAAAAAGCAAAAATAAAATCATCCTTGATATTGGCTATAGCCGAAAGCGCTCGGAATTACCGGGCATTAGGACAGTTTCTACACACTATCTCTAGAAAAGAAAACACTTGTTAGAACACAAGAAAAATTAAATAAAAAGCTTATTTGTAGTACCTTGTCTATATTCTTTAATGAAACATGTATAAATGAAGGATTGCTGCCTAAATACACAATATATATATATATATATATATATATATATATATATATATATATAGAGAGAGAGAGAGAGAGGGAGAGAGAGAGGGACTCAGAATCACACATTTTCTGATTGCATTACGTAAACTTATGTCTTAAAATCCTGAACGACATAGTTTCCACGAAGCATATAAACAGGCATTCGACCCAATCACCGTTACAGCAAGGATCTTTAAAATATTTATATATAATTTACTCACCGTAATCCGCGACATATTTTACATTCCCTGTACTTTCAACTGCAAAACATCGTCGCCTAATACTGCTGAATATCAGAAAAATGCTGGTTACTTACCTAGAAAAGAAATTAAAACAGACCATTATAAAGTGGCAAAGGTTTCATATATTATAGATATTTTAAGAAATGAAAAATACAGACTTCTTTTTTCCTTTTTGCATGAGGTTTTCCAATAGGTTAACATGATTTATGCATAAGAAAGTTCCGTATTTCATGCAGTTTTAAATAAAACTGGTTAATATAGCCTCATTTTCCGGGCTTGATATATTTCATGGCAGTTTACGCGGCTTTGTAGATTTATTTTTCGGCCCGCATCCTCTTTCTCCACAGACACTACGTCGTAAGACTATCTCTATTCCCAAATGTCCAGTGGATCCTGTTACAATTTTTGCGTATATATATATATATATATATATATATATATATATATATATATATATATATATATATATATATAAACTAGTGAGTTAGTCCAAATGCCTTGACTCGCTTTATAGTCTATCAATAGAAGGTTAACCAATCAGAAGACGTAGAACATTCAATCCGTCGTGTATAAAGGCAGCCATTTTTGTCTACTCTACCCTAATGTCCAGTCTAGCTTATCAGGCGAAGAGATAACAGAAGGACGAACTATGCTCTGCTACTTTTACCAAAATATCCACTGCTAACCTGAACAACGCTTCCCTACTGTCTTCGAAATATTCACTGCTAACCTCTGGATTCTATACTCGAAGACGACTGTCATGATGAACAACAGATCCACCATTTCAGATCTCACAGCTAAGACACGCTGAGATTACGTAAACAGGGTTGAAATCGTAATTATTCTCTACGGATTACATTTTGAAGCAGTTCCAGTCAGTCACAAGAAGCGCTACTTTGTGGAAACAGATTTCAGGTAGATGCTTCCCAGACGCTATACATTCTTAAACGTCTTAAAATCTAGACTTACGGCCATATCATGTTGAAACACCTGTTCCCGCACGATCACCGATGTTAAGCAAAATCGTGCCCGGTCAGTACCTACATGGGTGACCGCTTGCGAATACCAGGTGCTGTAATGAATAGTGGCTCGGAATTGTTCATCGGAGAGCTGACTTCCAATTGCCGTTGGGTTCGTTATGTTCACTTACGCACAAATACCCTTGGGAAAGGTATGAATCCACCTCTTCTCCCCCAGCTATGGGTTAATTAGCAAGACTTGTATCACTAAATCATTACTATCTACCCCACCAAAATATTTTACAATCTAAAAATATTTCTGATCTTAAATAACTCGCAGAAAACAATCAATCTATCTCAAAATAAAGTTAATTTTTTTATCTATTCTTTATATCTTCATCATATTCACTTTCTACTTATCGTCTTATGGTTATATCACGTACCGCGTTCCGTAATTCTATACTAAGTACCTCTACGAAATGACTAAAAAGTTAGCATGACATGATGAAAACATGCTCAAAACGCACTGAAAACATAGTTTTATCATAAAAATCGTTATGTTATTAAGAGGAAGGAACGAAGTATTTTTTGTTTATGTAGTGAAAATTTTTACTCCATTTTGGAACATTCGAAATTTTTATTACAAATGTTTTTTTCAGCGGTTGTAAGAATTTTTAGCATAGCAAATTTTAGCCTCTTTTTGCGTTGATATACACATTAAATTAGAAATCCTTGCAAAAATCAAATAATTGGCGTATTTTAATGAACTTTTTAGGACTTATTGACTAATGAATAAAATTATTTTTGAAATTTTTTTTATTAATCTTGTATAAAAGAATAAACAATTATATATATATATATATAGAGAGAGAGAGAAAGGGGGAGAGCGATTGAAAGATAGATAGATGGATAGATAGATAGATAGATAGATAGATAGATAGATAGAGTGAGTGTTATAACAATATCCTTAAAGTAAGAAGTTATAAAAATATACTGCGATTAAGGTTTTATTTATATTATATATATCTTATTTTTATCAGTTATATATCTTAATTGCTGTACCTTGTGAGTCGTCTTTAATGAAACTTGTATAAAAGAAGGATTGCTGCCCCAAAACACAATATATATATATATATATATATATATATATATATATATATATATATATATATATATATATATATATATGCTCCTGAAAATTTTATTTCAGTTGAGCTCTCTGGGGAGGAAGTGTGGGTTTGTAAACAGTGACTAATACGGCTAATAATGCATGACTCTTCGGTAAATCGAATCGAGTTCTCTCAGTCACTGTGTGTTTATCTAAAAATTAAATACGGTTAAATTCACCTTCATTTCTGCCGAATATTGTCGGGTTTCGATCCTAGCTATAAGCAACCAGACGTCTTGCCACACTGATCAGCTGTGATACAGCGAAACAGTCTGTCTGTGGATGACAATATATATATATATATATATATATATATATATATATATATATATTTCTAGGGATAGATAGATAGATAGATAGATAGATAGATAGATAGATATATAGAACGAGAGAGCTAGAGATTTATGAAAGAGAGTATTATCAAATAGATTTTAACGGCTCGTGATGATCAACGTATCTGTAAGAATGTCAGTAGTTTTATTTAACGAAATTTAAAAATACGGATCAATATTCAGTAAACGAAATTGTTATTTGCGGAGAAAGTATTGTAAACAACTGAACGTCAAAAAGTAAAAAAAACAATCATTCTGGAATCTTCCCGCCGAAATTTAATCTACTGCCGAAGAGATCATTTGAGCGTAATAGAAATGAGTAAGTCAATAAATCTCAAACACACACACACACACATAAATAAATATATATATATATATATATATATATATATATATATATATGGGTTGTAGATTAATTTCTTTCGTTTTTTTTATTATTATTTCATTTAGATTCCTCGACTAGTTTCGACCAAAATGGCTATCATCAGGAGAAGAAATATTTCTGCTTGCTGTTAGCAGTGAACTGCAGAAATGAATGTCTTGCTGGAGAATATATATATATATATATATATATATATATATATATATATATATATATATATATATGTATGAGAGGGAGCGGTGAGGGAGGATGTAAAGGCAAACAGTTTTATAGTTCGATATTTAAGACATTGTTTTTCTGTATATAAGTTCTTTTTATCGATACAAATATTTAAGTAAATGCTCTGTTTATAATAAACAGTATTAACGATATTTACAATCCTGAATGTCGGAGAGATTTTCAAAGAAAATATGCGTCCTCCGACAAGAATCGAACCTGTATCCTACATGGAACCGTCATATAGCCTGACGTGCCTTAACCGATTGGGCCACAGAGGAGCGTTCGGTCGATTTTATTGAATTTATTTAGAATTGTGTTTAAAAACAATTAAATCGACCTTGCTAACCGAACGCTCCACTCTGGCCCAATTGGTTAAGGCACGTCAAGCTATATGACGGTTCCGAATAGGATACAAGTTCGATTCCTGTCTGAGGACACATATTTTCTATGAAAATTTCTCGGACATTCAGGCCGGTGAATGTTGTTAATACTGTTTATTATAAAGAGAGAATTTACTTAAATATTTTTATCTATAAAAAGAACGTATAAACTTAAAAAAAAATGTCCTAAATAATTGTCGGGTGTATAGTTCGATATGTATGAATAACCATACGTAGGACATTAATTTAATAAGATGGACAATTTGAGAAGCGTAGCTTAAAAATATGTTATTGAAAATGGGTAGTGAAGAAAAAGAAGCTAAGAACAAGAGATCCATGGGAAAAAAATGAAAAGAACATGGCTAAATGATGGATAGTCCCCATTGTCAACTTTTAGTCAATATTAGAGAAATATTTGAGAAAGGTCTTTCTGGTTTAGGAAGCGATCCGCTGCATGTGTAATCAATTGAATGTACTTCGTCTTTTAAGAATGATAGTAAATAGTCAGTAACCAGACAAATGGCTTCCATCCGAACTTAAGAAAACAAACATTGGTCAACGTTTAAGCAGTTATTTCTCTTCTTTCTCGATGGCATTGAAATTGCTTTTGAACAAGATAAACATTCGCCTCGGGAAAAAATGGATTTATTAAGAGAACTGAATAATCGGGATAGGTTAAAGAACAGCTATAACATCGGTTTCTAAACGAAATCTAATTGGTCAAATGTTATTCGCTATTTTTGGTGGAATTCGAAAATATTTATCTTTATTATCGTGAATTGAACCTGATGCGAACCATTACGGCAAACCGTTGATAATGTTAATATAGCCGTTTCTTCATATAAAGATAAGCCGCATTTATTGAGCCAAAAGCTATTGTTGCAGTTGATTAAAAGTTATAAAATCTTTCTATTAAAATATTTTTTCAAGAAAATAGTTTATTTCCAGTAACGACCATTCCTCTTTCTTGTATAGATACAGGTTTTATTTTTGTTTTTTTTTTAAATTTTTTATTGGGACTCTCCTTTCCTCCTTGTCGGATGAGGTTTGAAATGATTACGTATAGGGGTCTTCCCCAGACATCTATGATTTTTTGGATCGATGAACTTCCGCTATCAGATCTAGACATTCATTTGAGTGAGAGTTTGGAAGACGTTTACTAATGGATAAGAAGAGGAAGTCTTTGATATGGTCAAATGCTGCTGTGACGTTAATATTGCAAGTTTGTTTGATAACAGCATATCAACTACTTATGGGTCATTTAATGCTGAACATTAATTTTCTTGGGAGGATTAAGTAATTGCTTTTACAAAAATAAATTGCCAGTAACATTTTTTTTTAAATTTTAAAAAAAAATGTATTGCCGGTAATTTATTTACGATGAGGATGTATTACTGGTATTTTTACTAGAAACATTTTGACATTTTTATCGTGTTTAGACCACCATTTTGGAATTAAACTATTTACCCATAGCTGGGACATTAACAGGTGCTACCAATCCGTGTAAAGTTGAACAGAGTAACACCAGCAATTAAGATGTGATTCTACGCACCTCAAAGTGTGGAACCACCTCATAATTGCTGGTGTTACCGGGTCCAGGGGTGGTAGCACCTGTTAGGGTCCCAGGTATGGGCAAATAGTTATTCGCACCTAATTTGGAGATCAAAACACTATGAAAGTGTAAAAATAGGTTTTAATACCAGCAATAAATTTTTGAAAAAAACAATATTGCCAGCAATAAAAATCTTGTTGGCATTAAATAACCCACTGAGGTGTTGATATGCTGTAAAATGAACCAAACCATTCACACTCCTCAAAACCTCCCAATCAGACGCCTTGTTGCCGGATATGGTTTAACGCCATATCCAGGACGGCAATATAGCAGGTATCAAATGCAATTTCTTCGGGTTGTTTGATGAGATATCTACCATCAGCACACCCCTGGCCAGAACGAACAATCAACTGAGTTTTCATAGGATGCTGAGAACTGAGTTAATACAATGTTCATTAGTATTTTCAGCAGAATACAGGGCTGGGCGTACTACGGCCCGCGGGCCACCTGCGGCCCTCCAAAAGAATTCATGCGGCCCGCCAAATGTTAGTAAATTTGAAAAAGAAAGTTACTAAGCAACACTAAATAATTGTTACAAGCAATTTGACGCCTAATTTTAACAAACTGGTAAATGACTGCAGTCACATACATTATTTTTATTGAGTCATTGAGATCCTCTTGTTGCTAAGTTACTTTGTTTTTCAAATAAATCTGTTTCAGGTGAAGTTACTACTTCAAAATATCAATATTTTTCCTTTAAACTGAATTTGTTTTCAAACAAATCTGTTTCATGTAAAGTTTCTACTTTAAAATCTAAATTATTATTTTCTTTAAATTTAGTTACTTTATAAGTGTTTTATTTGAAGTTTCTACTTTAAAATATTAGTAAGAATTTTTTATTTCTTTACGTGATTTGTTTTTCAAATAAATATTTTCTACTTTATAATATCAATTAATAAAAATATTTTTTCTTAAAAAGAAAGGTTATTTGGTTTTTCAAATGTGTTTCAGGTAAATCTTCAAATACTTATGAATAATTTTTTCTTTAAATTACTTTAAACTGGGTTAATTTGTCTTTCAAATAAATGCATTTCATGAGAATCTTCAACAGTAATTTAAAATATTAATTAATAAAAATTAATTACATTTTTTTTTCTTTAAAAGTTTTTTTTCTATTTTAAATATTAATTATTTTGGGTTAATATGCTCTGCGGCCTAATAAAATTGTGAGTTTGTGAATGTGGCTTTGCACTGAAAAAATTGCCTAACCCTGATATAATGGATCCAGTAAGATATTTATGTACAAGTGAAGGTCTTGATGAATAACTTTTTGTTTCCCTGTTACATTAATGTGCGATATGACCATTTCTTTGGGATACTCTTCTGGTTTCAGACTTCCTTCTGGAAAAGAAGGCACCTTTTTGTAAAATGGCTCAAGTCAAAATGGATATCACATATAACTCGGAGAGGAAACATTGACACAATCAAGATGTTGATGTTCCACGGTATTTCAGACAAAAAGTTATTAAGAATCCCCACCCACTCATCAGTACCGAAAAGAACGATAACAGCTACTGAACTTAAGAAAATCTATTTTCCTGATAATTAGTTTTAAGTGAAAGATTTTATAATTTTCAACTGACAGTGGCTGTAGGGTCGATAAATGCCGAATGTTTACTTATAAGGAAACGGCTATTATTACCATTGGAAGCGAAAGGATCACATACCGGACTAGTGACTAATTAAAGTTCATGAAGTAGGCGCAAAAGTTGTCATTTGAAATCTTATGGACATTTTCCAAATGATATGCCCGTAAACAGTCTCAATTTTTCGGAATTGGTCTAACTTTGACCTAAATCCAAGTATTTGTCAAGTTATGATTAAAGTTGTACTTTTTAATCTGTTTATTATTAAGGCAATCAGTTCCGGAGAGTTGATTTTCCTGCTTCTTTTTTTCCAGAGGAATGTCATTGAAATCTTATTGAAACGAATATTATAAATGACTGACAGGTTTAAATTTACCCTAAGTTTTAAAACATGACCTATATCAAATGGACTTGGGGGCCTTCAACACAAAATTAAGTTGAATTAGTACAAACGCTGCCATATTTTACCTACTTTTCTGACTTCGAAAGGCGCTACCAAAATTTCCTTAGAATTTTTTTTCTCCTTCAGGGTGTCCATAAAGTCCGTGTGCACTTTACAAAATTTATAACTTTATTTGTATTTGCGATAGAAATATTTTGTAAAAAGGATTAGAAAGAAGTAAATCTATTTTCTTTAAGGTTTTATTGAAATTTTATTTAAGTTTCCACATGTCCTCCATCATTAGAAATACAAAGGGTAATACGATTTTGCAGTTCACGGAAAACATCTGCCAACTGATATACAGTAATGCCTGAAATCAAATTAGTTATTTTAGCTATACTTAAAACTAGGCACATTAAACTTTATAAGGTTTTTTACAGATTATTTCTATCGCAAATACAAATAAAGTTATAAATTTTTTAAAGTGCACACGAACTTTAT